TATATATATCATTAAATGCTAAAATCTTTATATTACAAATTGTTTTCTTATATTCTTTATGGACCTTTTTATATCTCTCCCAACTATCTCAATTTTTACAACTAAATAAATTTTATAACAAATCTTCTTAGTTTTTATATTTTCTTGCACATTTTGATTCCACCAACTATTTTGCTATTAGTAGTTTTTCCCTTTAATCCTCCAAGCACATCTTTGCAATATTTTTATTTTTTTTTATTATTTTTATTTTTTTTATTTTTTTTATTTTTACAATATTTTTAATATCACTAGCTACTTCTTGCATGCCACATAATATTATATTCCTCATACATAGACAAAATCTTAAAATCTGAAATCTTACTTTCAAAAATATTTTTATAAATATTCTTTAAATGCCCCCATCTAATCCAAGAACAATGATTTACTTTATTTTCTATTTACTGCAATTTTATTTTAAAGTCCAAAACTAATGAGTGATATTGGGTACATTAACTTTCACTTGAAATAATTTTATAATCTTTGTAATCTAAACGATCAATTTTTTTAAAATAAAATAATCAATTTTAATTTTACTATATCCATTCTTATAACTGATAAGACGCTCATTTTTTCTTAAATAAGGTATTAGTAACTAAAAAATTATAAGCTAAAAAAATCTAATTCGAACTTACCACCTTCATTAGTCGCTATAAATTACGCATGCAAATGAGTCAAGCGACCTCGCGAGCCGGCTCGGACTCGACTCGGTAACAGGCTCGATGAGCTTATCGAGCTTGTAAGTCAAGCTCGAACATAATTTCGAGCTCGACAGCTTAACGAGCTCAAGCTCGAATAAGTCATTACTAGACTCGGCAACTAGTCGAGCAGCTCGACGGCAGAGCTCGCGGGAGGCAAATCCAAAATGCGAGCGGTAAATCAAAAATGGTAGCGGGAAATCCAAAACGCAAGCAGAAAATCCAAAACGCGAGCTAGAACATGTGGGCATATGCAACTACGAGCTCGTGACGACGACAACGGACGTGACTACGAGCTCGAGACAACGACAGTTAAGCACTCGATGTTTACGCTCGGGATGATGAAGGTCGACAGCTACTCTCGAGACGACGAGCTCGGGACGATGGTTCTCGATGGCGGAGCTCGAGAAGATGACAGATGAGCTTAGGACGACAGTTCTCGATAACTAACATGACTATGGGCTCAACAGCAGAGCTCGATGAGCTGCTCGACATGATGATGAGTCGAGCTCATATTTTGAAATCGACTCGAGTTCGAGCTTGAGCTCAAGCTCGGCATTTGATAATCGAGCTCGACTCGAACACCTCTTGGCTCGAGCTTGACTCGACTCGTTTGCACCCCTACTCTAAATTCATAACCATTATGAATGCTTTTAAAATTAGCAGCCACCATGAATGCTTTTAAAATCAGCAATCTTTCTACCAACATGTTCATTTAAATCTCTTATAATAAAAACTCTTTTTTTTAGAAGTATCTTTTGCATTAATTTATCTATATCAGTATAAAATTAAAATTTTGTACACATCCAAACTTACTTGAGAAGCATAAGAGTTTATCATATTAATAATCTTAACATCAACAACAATCTTTAATGCTATAATTATATCTTTAATTCTATTAATTTTTACAACATTATATTTCAAACTCTTACTACAATCACCTATATCATTTTTAGTACGACTCGTACCAAAATATTATAGTTCAAATCGTAAAATATTAATCTCCTTAGTCTTCTTTCCAACCCAATTATATTTCCTGAATGCATAAAATATTTATCTTTCTATTAATCAAAATATCTATTAAATCCATTAATTTGCCGATAAGAAACCTATATTTCAAGTTCATACCCTAATCTTGATTTCATAGTCTAGTTTCTTTGCCAACATCCATCCATGATACGAGAATTCTACCTATTTAACATTACACCTGAATGCCATGTACAACAACCCTTGCTCACTTATCATTATATTTGTCCAAATTTTACATTGACTATCGACTACTTAATGAAATCATCCACTTTTCTCAGGGAGCTGACAACAGCAGTGTTAACTATATATAATTATATTATTCTTTTTAAAAATAGAAACATAATTAATCATCTTCATCTTTAATTCATATTCTTATAACTGACGTTCATACAAAAATAAATTAAATTATAATTATAATCAAAATTTTATCATAACAATTAATAAAAATATAACTAGTGAATAAAACAGCTTATACCCCCTCTAAAAAAACATTCTTGGTTCCGCCATTAATCAAATGAAGAGATTTTTTAAGACTGATCAAAACGGTTATGGCAGTAAGCAGCTATTATTTTATCTTAAATGTCAACACTTCAGCAGAATAAAATTAAGTAAAATATTGAACTACGTACTGATCAAATAAGTATGAAATATTTCTAGTTATAAAAATAATATTAAAAATCACAAATTTGCACTTTTTCTAGAACAGACAAAAGGCAAAGGAGATTAAAATAAAAGGATTTATTTATACATCATAATAATTTTATATATTTATATATCTAATATTTAAATTTTTACATTTACTTATACAATACTTAAATATTTAAATTATATAATACTATTAACTTTTCTACATACATTTTAATGCCATTGAGAAAATTAAATTTTATATAAATAAATATTAAAAATTTAAATATTAGATATTAAATACATAAGAATTTTGGGATGTGTATCTGAATCTCCCAAAATTAAAACAACCAATTGTGTTCATTTACTTCAGAGGCCAGTTTATAAGGTCCAGTAGGTACAAAAGTGGCCACAAAAGCACATCAAAGACTACATAGCTACTTCTACTCTTTATATGACGATTTCCAATAAAATGATTTAGAAAAAAAAAACCCCCACAGAATGCCCAGAGATGAGTTTATCAGCTAATTAAAGGATACTTTTGGTGACTAAAGGAATTCACTAAGGCTAGTGCTTGAATGACTCCATCCACCAAGCAATAAGTTCTCAGTGGCTTGTGGCCAAAGCTGTCACTAAGAGCCCAAGAATCAAGAAAGGTTGAGCGCTAGCCTGTTCAAATATATGGATCAAACAGTAAAAAAATTATGCTAGTATTAGAGGTGTCAATAAATGATCTAACCTATTAATATATCGATATGAAAAATTTAAATTCGAGTTGACTTGTTTAATAAATGGGCTGAATTCAAATCAAATTATTGGATCATTTCGAGTTGAACTGTGAACCCGCTTTTAACTCGAAATGACCGGTTTAATAACTTTGCACTCGAAACTTTTTTCCTTATGGATGAACCATGAGTCTTGAATGAACTTGTTAAGATTCAGGAGGTAAAATAGAGCATGGTTGTAAACTTTGATATTGAGAAGCATAGTAAATGACCTGATATTTAACGTCGTACTTTACAGGATCCTTCAAGAAGTACTGGAACTGCAAAGGGCATTCGAGAGCAAGAGTGGATTAAACATAAAAATTACTTGCAGGTTATGTCATAAATAAGCTATTGGCATGATAACATATTTCAGCTAACTAAGTTTGATCTCAAAGCTGAGTCACACTAAGAACTTGTTTGATTTTATCATTTGTCCTCATGGTTTTGATTCAAGGACTTCCCAAGAAGTTTTAATTCAGCATGTTTCTTCGGATATTTTTTATATTTAGCAGAATCTTTAGAACATAGTAATGTCTTCATGGAAGAATGAAGCGCTGACAGAAATTCGTTAGGCGCTAAGATGAGAGATAAAATTCCTAGAAGGAATTCCTCGCAGAATTTACTCTAAGGAAGCTTTAGATGCTATTGGATTGGCATGAGAATGTGTGCTTTTTTTTGATGATTTGTCATCCAAAAGAGGATATATTCACATATCAATGCGTTATTTGCATCCAAAACTTCCATATAGTAAATTCTGTGAGGGAATCCTTAAGAGGAATGTTGTTTACGAGGGAAAGTGGAAGAATTTTTTTTTTTTTTTGGGAAAATAAGAGAAGTTTCTTTTGGAAATGGCAGTATGATTTGACGAGCCGAGGGGTATGATTTGCCTGGCTAGATTAATTAATGGTAGTTATTTGCCATGGGAAGATACTTTCAATGGAGATTCTGTACACTTACTTGCCTTATAATAATCACATAGGAAGATACTTTAGCCACAATAAGGTGTGTTTCTAACCTGGAAAACGACCTGGGGAATTATCAATCCAATAAGAGCTAAGGAATACAAGGGCTTGCCAGCGCTGAGCAGGTAACCTGGCATGAATAAAAATAGTCTTCATAGATAATATCAAAACAAATCACTTTCATCAAGATGCAGAAATAAATGAAGTAAAATCGCATCGCAAAAAAGTAGTAGGCGGAATTTAGGAGAGCATTTCAACCATGATTTTCGTCTCTTTCAAGAGCCTAGAATGATGGAATTCAACATCCAGTCATGCCATGTAATAAAACAGCATATATTAAACGCAATGTTTAAAATTGCGTATTCGGGTATTGAGGCGTTTTTCATTCGTGAGGCGAGGCGTAAGCCTCAAAATCAAAAGATTGCGTAAACATAAAATGATAAATTTTTTATATACCAATGAGTGAATAATATAAAATATAAAAAAGCATAAGATATGAAATGAAATCAAATATTCCAATAATAAGACAACATAAAATATGTTCAACTCAAAATTATATCTTTCCAAAATCCAAGTATTTTTTTTCATTAACATATAATTCAAATTTCCAAAAAAAAACATAGCAATGACACATCACATAATAACTCATAAGTCATCAGCACTGACATCACTAAGGGGCTCTTCATTTGAATCATCATTATGATGGACTGCTCTCCCCTTCCTCCTCTCCTATAGAGTCCAATGTCGGGCATTTACTTCAAGATTTATGTAAGTTTCAATATATATACCGTGAGGCGTAAGCCTCATGCCAGTGAGGCGAGGCGGGCCTCAATCAAGTTGAGGCGCAAGCCTCATAAAAAAAACTCGAGGCGTAAGCATCGAGGCGTTTTTTACTGGAATTGCGCAAAGGCGGGCCTCAAGGCGAGCCTCATATTGCGCAATTTTAAACCATGATTAAAAGCATTCTATCAAATCCCAAAGGCTTATATTGGAACAGCCTCGATTTATGTTACCCGGGACGGAGGAGATTAAGCCAACCAGTCCTCAGATCAAAAGAGAGAACACATGTCAACTGATTCTAGCACCGATCAGGTGGCCAGCACCCATGGCTGATTGGCTCGATTTACGCTTTCTACCAGCATGGCAAATTGGGTTTGGACAACTATGATTAATTAGTCCAAGTGATCAGCTACATGGGGACTTACAAACATAGTACTCAAAATTATCTAATTTATATATTTCACATCTAAACTTAATTATTTACATCATCTAGCACTTTTGTTAATGTCGTTATCCAATCTCCCATAATACTCGTCGGACCTCGCAGGCGAGGGCATCAACAAGATAGAGAGAAGCTTGCAAGCATGCAGGGAAAGAAACCAACTAGCCAGGCGGAACTCATAGGTAGGCACGGCAGCAAGCTCATAAGCAGGAGATGGTAGAGCTTACATGAAAGTAGCGGTGAACCTACAGGTGAGAGCATCGACATCTTCGATGGTGTGAACAATGGGATTGGCGTCTTGTTGATGGGGTTAAGGCTTTTAATAGGTGAGATGTTATTTATAAGTTTATATTGATGTTTTGGGTGCTAAATATGTAAAAAACAAAGTTTAGATGTGAAATATATAAATTAGATATATTTGAGTGCTATGCATATAAATCCCCAATAGAGTGGGAGTTAGGGCGTGTCTGACACCTTAATTCTGCAGGATTGTTGGTGGAGTAAATTTATCCTCATATATTCTGGACTTCATGTGTTGTGTACACTTTAAATCTTATTCTAAAAAATATTTGTGCATCCAAGAATACATAAGCAAATGAAATCATCTATGCTGAATGTCATTGGATAACAGTGGTTGCAGATTAGGCTGTTTTGATCAGAAATTTCATTATGAACCACTTAATGAGACTTTCAATGTTTAATGATTTCGCACATTTGAGAATGTTAGTTGTTGCTGAAACTCGTTTTGCCTCTTTAATAATCAGGTTGAGAAGATTCAAATAAATAAAAAATGCTCTTTAATCTATGGTGATTAGTGAGAAGTGGTCTTGTTATCGAAAAGATGATGTTGGAAAGGTAATGTATGTGAAAGAAAAAGTCTTAGATGATTTGTGGGGGGATGATGTAGATTATATTTTGGCTTTCACTGATCCGATTCATGACATATTGAGAGAGGCTGACATAAATAAATAATGTCTACATTTAATTTATGAGATGTGGGACTCTATATTAATAAAAGTGAAAGAATTATATACAGACATGAAAGAAAGTCACATAATGAAGACCTAAGTTTTGGAGCATTGTCTATACCATTCTTGAGGATAGGTGGACCAAAAGCAACACACCTCCGCATTGTTTGACCCATTTATTAAATCTAAGGTACATTTGTATTCATCTTTTAAATTAATTTTAAATTTCTTGGTAAATGAATAAATAAATTTATATGTTTTATATTATTTGAAGGTATTCAAATAAATAGTGGCTTCAAGAAAACCCTCAACGTGTCTCACCACAAAAAGACTTAGAAGTGTCAAATATGAGAAAGGTATGCTTGAAACGATATTTCCCAAATGAGTAGAGAAGAAAAATGAATATAGAACTTGCAAAGTTCTTTGGATATTTAGAGGATTTTGGTGATCAAGAATCTTTGGTTGATTCCTGGAGGATGGATCCAAAAATGTGGTGGTTGATTCATGGAGCTTTAACACCGCTTCTTCAAACCATAACAATAAAACTTCTTAGTCAAGTATCATCCTCTTCCTATTGTGAGAGAAATGGGAGCACATACTCATTTATTCAATCAATGAAGAGGAATAAAATAACTCCACAACAGGCTGAAGATTTAATTTATGTGCATACAAATATTCGTCTTCTATCAAGAAAAATCTCACTTGATATGAAAGGTGATAACAAGATGTGGGATGTTGCTCGAGATGGATTCGAGTGCCTTGATGATATGAGATTATTGGAGGTTGCAAATCTTTCTCTAGATGAACCAGAGTTGAAAGTAATGATATTCAGTGATGATGATATTGAAGGCCAAAGGCCAACCTTTGAATCTAATTCTATCATTCCATCTATTGAATAGTTGGACCTTCATGTTGTACTAAATAGTTTTTTGTTTATATTTTTTTGATTGTACTAGATATTTTATACTAAACATCCTTATGTTATAAGCTAAATAAGTTATCATGACTTTGATTTATTATTGTTTGCCATTTTTAATATAATGTTACCTTAATTTCTATATATTATATTAAAAATTTATTATGTCGTATCCACGCCACACCCGTGTCCTATATTTTAAAAAAATGCCATGTCCCGTGTCTGTGTCGTGTCGTGTCCATGTCGCCGTGTCCATGTCGGTGCATCATAGGCGTGTTATCATTGGTCAGCTTACTAGCAAGGTAGTTTGGTGAAATATCAAGTGGTGTGGATCATCAATAGTCAACCAACTTATTTGGTGGGCTGATCGATCGAATAATGACAATTAAATATATGCATATGTTTAGCTCATTATTTGTAAGTGTTTTAGGAATCATTGGAAAAAGAAAAAAGATTGATTAGTTCAATCTAATATCATGTTTTATGGTACATATAATCACCTAGACATTCGAGTGACCATGAAATCACATCAAATAGTTCATGATAATTTGCATGACTTATGGAATATTATTGTTATTTCCCTAGGGATTGAGAAATACATCTTCTTGGAAAGATTTTGCTGGTGAGCTTTGGTTGACAGGACCAAGTTGACGATTTTTATTGGCAATTATTTAATGGGTTGATCACTTGGTACATGGTCAACTGATTTGAAGGCAAGTGTTTTCTTAGTAGAATTTTGTTATTGAGCCAGCCTCAAGACGGTAGGAATTAATTGACAAGCCTTTCTAGTTACTTGTTATATATACCAATTCATTGAATGAGATGAATGCATTGTATGTTGTGTGATATATTGAATGTTATGGAACTCTCCTGTAAGATAATCCATATAATTTATATTTACTATTTAATGTGTTACAGATATTCTATTAAGTACATCTATCACAACAGGTTTACACTTTTGGGTGATGATTTTGCACAGGATTAGGTGTACTTGTTAAGAAGATCAAACAGGTCGATCAGCTTGTAGGTTAAGTAGTTCTAGTGGTCGGCATCAAGGTGAGTTGAGTAAGACTCCTTGCTAGGCAGTTTAGTTGTCTTTCCTTTGATGTTGTATATCATTCGGCCTTTTGTAACCAAACTATGATATTTTGATGAATGCAATGTTTTTTTTTTTTTTCATGCTTTGCTTATTTGTTCTGTGAATGCAAAACAACTTTCTACGGAGGCTACATAATCAATATGGTTCTCTCTCTTTGATTTGATAATGTATGGTTGATCTCTAAATAGTGAGGAAAAGTTGAATGCCAAGTTGTTGCCACGTGGAGGTTATTTAGTATGCTTCTAGCCAGTAAATAAAGCAACCATTAGAGAGGCTCCACATCTAGACGACTGTCGAGGAGAAATATTGGCAATGATTGTCTCCCAATTGTTGTTATTCCTAGAATCGATGCAAGACAGTGGGTTAAAAGACCTTGAAAGGTGTCCACACATGAATGAGTGGTGCCTGATTTGGCTTGTCGACAACAAATCTGACTAAGCAACCCTAGTCCCTTATTGCCCATAAACAAGAGTGAACTCAGAATGAGAAACTACTATTCCAAGAGAGCAAGTGATGTTTTGCGAGCCTTATGGAAAAAGGACAAAGGCCTTCGAGCAAAGGAAACACTATAATGGGTGTCAACCCTGCTTCTTAAGCTATTCAAGCTTACGCCTAAAATGGGTAGAGAGTGTTTATGCGAGAAAAAGCTTGTATAAGTGCACTTTTCACCAAGGCTTCCAATAGCTCAAGGCTTATATGAAGGGTGGCTTAGCTAAGTATCTTAACAAGCGTGATGATATGAGACGTGGAGAATTAGTTAATATATATTGTTTTGATAAGATTGGTATGATGATGCCAAGGAGTGGCCACAAGAGCTAAGGCATAGACTAGGAGCACTCTCGACAATGCTTTTAGGACTTTGAGGTCCTATGAAGAGATTGATGCCTAGCTAAGCAGAGTAACCTAGTAGTTGATGAATGGATGT